GACCTGGGTTCGAATCCCAGCACCCACATGGCAGCTAACAACTGTCCGTAACTACAGTTCCAGGGGATCTGACAGCCTCTTCTGTCTTCCGTGGGCATTGCACGACATGGGTGCACTTACCTACATGCAGGCAATACACGCATACACATAAAATAGAAAAATAAATAAAATAAAAAATTATTTAAAAATGCCTGAGTCAATTATTAAAAAAAAAAAACAATCAACAGAGTAAAGAGACAGCATGCAGAATGGGACAAATTATTTACAAGCTATACACCTGACGAGAAGTTAATAACTAGAATATGCAAGGAACTTGAACAACTTAAAAGCAAAAAATTCATCATTTTTAAATGGGCAAGTGATGTGAATATACATTCCTCAAAAGATATGCAAATGATGCCCCCTCACGCTACACACACATAGATGTAGTGTGTGCATGTCATGTCTGTATGCATGTTCAAAGTTTTATGAAATAAAAATTAGGATGAATGGGTTCCAGAAAGCTGAGTACTCAGATATGTGGAGGCAACTGATTGATACTGGGAGGGGGAAAGACAGTGTCTTACAGGGATGGGACTCTTGGTGGGTCCAGTGAATGGACCCATGCTGAAGGACATTTAGCAACACAAACCGGACCCTACAGGTCATTTTACAAATATGAGAGTACTTTAAATTGGGGGTGGGTAGTGGGGAACAGTGTGCATAAGGGAGGGGTTCTAAATACCACCATTTTTATGAAAAAAAATCACAAAAATTCAATAATAAAATAAAATAAAATTACAGTGGAAAAAAACACCCTGGAAATGGAGATGGTGACAGTCAGTACCAGTGAGACACCTCAGTCTCCTCAGAAGAAAAAGGCCTGGTAGACCCTACTTTTGAACACGAAGAAACATTTATGAACAGAGTTGAAGTTAAAGAGTCCCAAAGATGGGCTGGAGAGATGGCTGTTAAGAGCACTGGCTATTCTTACAGAAAACCCAGGTTTGAATCCCAGCACCCACATGGCAGCTACCATTTATAACTTCAATTCCAGGGGATCTAATGGTCCCCAGCACTGCATGACATGAGTGCACATACACACATGCAAGTATAACACTCACACACAGTCAAAAAAAAAAAAAAAAAAAGGGGCCCGGCAGCACACAGAACTAGCTCTTTCATTTTCCTGTCAAGAACGAAGATTCCATTCTGGGGGATTATGCAAATTATAGGAAACCTTGAGGAAGCACAGATAATGAGTATGCTGTTATTGATGGTGTGGCAGGGATAAAAAAATACTTTGATATAATGTTGGGCATTCAGCTACTCTACAAATTAGAGAGACCACAGTATGCAGAAATGCTTGCAGATCACCCCGATGTACTCATGACCCAGGTGTATGGAGTGCCACATTTACTGAGATTATTTGTACGAATTAGAGCGATGTTGGTCTACACACCTCTGGATGAGAAAAGATGTGCTTTTATTACTGAATTATCTTCATGATTTCCGCAAGTACCTGGCGAAGAATTCTGCAACTTTGATTAGTGCCAGCGATTATGAAGTGGCTCCTCTTGAGGACCATCAGAGAGCGGCGTGAGAGGCATGTTCTCATTACTCATGTTTGAATCTTTGTAAAGAGAGTTTGGTTTAGTCCTTCTCTTGGACAAATGATGTGCTTTGATGATGTTAGTGTAACAACAGAATTGCTGTTTATTTTTTGTTTGATTTTAAAAAATATATTCTTATTGAGTTTTTGTGCATTTCATGTAGATCTTTGCGGTCGCTGGCTGTGGCTGCTCCCCTCTGGCTATGGCCGCTCTCCTGCTCTCTTAGTTCCTCCGATCAGTCGTCTGGTCAGGACCCCAGGGCTGGTGAGGAGACTGTGTCAGCAGAGCCGCATTCAGACACAGGAGACCAGGTTCAGTGACACAGGTCTGCTTTATTGCAAGAAGACACAAGCTTCTATAGGGATAGTGATCCAATCACAGGACAGCAAGTAGGATACTTTATTAGCATAACAGGTTTAGCATCCTATCACAGTACAGCAAGTAGGATACCTTGATTCCAAGGGTGGTGATTAGGGAGTGGCGAGCTCTAGGCATCAGTCTCATGATCTGCCAATGGGAGCAAAATGTCACAAGGTGTTCCTTGTGGCTCCAGCAGTCGGGCTGTTGCCTCAGGCCTGCTGTATGGCTGTCAATAAGACTTTCACCCTAGGCTCAAGCCTGTCTCCCACAGATCTTAATCAAATTTAGACCCTTTCCCCCATCTGTGCTCCCCATATCTCCCCCAGTGGATTTCATGCATTCTTTCATATATGTTAAGTACTATCAGGTCAAGCATTGGTACCCAGATGTCCCTTGGTACAAGTTCATCAACTGGAGTCTATTCAGTGCATCTAGAGTCACTCCCTTAAAGAAGATCTACTCTCCCTCACCCAGCAGTAATCAGTTGCCAATAGTTCCTGGTTAGGGTTGGGGCCTGCTGCCCATTTCCCTTGTTTTATGCTGAGTTTTTGTCTGATTGAGTCAGCATGGTCTTGCGCATGCTGTCACCATTGTTGCAAGTTCATATGAGCAAGTTCCTAGTGGTCTGGAAGCCTCTGTTTCCTTATGTTCATGCACCAACCCCGGCTCTTACAATCTTTTTACCCCCTCTTCCAAAATGGCCCCTGAGTTGTGGGTGGGTGAGGTTTAATATAGGAATCCTATCTAGGGACATGCACTCTGCAGTCTCTTATTCTCTAAAACTTAGCTAGTTGTGGCCTTCTGTGTACACCATACTCCGTTGTGTGAGGAATCTTTGCTGGTGAGAGTTGAGGGAGCATTAGTATTTTCTCTACCCCCTGTTCTGCTATGTTCCATGAGCCTTTGGTGTACAGATTCCACTGTAGATGTGCCACTTAGGGCTGGGCATCTCTCAGACATATATTTTCTGTGTGTGACCTGCTGTGGAACTCTTTGGTAGCCTCCATCTGTTGCAAAAAGAAGCTTCTTTGATGAGTGGTGTGTGGTGTACTTGTATGTAATGTTAAGATCAATATTTAGTATCCCAATTTAGTAGGAAATTTCATTTGTCCAGAGGTATGCCAGAGATAGGAATAAACAGAGAGAATAAAAAGAGTCGCTGCTCTTTTTCTTTTTCTCTTTCAGTTTGTACCAGTGTACTCAACAATGAACAACAAAGAGATAAACTGTAGAGCGTTTATTGTCTCATTGACAAAGTTGCCTTGAGTGCTGGTGATACTTTTCCTTTGAAATGATGCACTTTTACAATATGTGTTAATGCTATATTGCAAAATGCTCTGATTTCTAGTGCCAAAGATTCAATTAATTGTATATAACTGGGCATTCATCCATTTATGCTCTTTTTTTTTTTTTGAATGGTGGTTAAAGAGCCCATCCTTTGCAGATCATCCAGGTTGTTTCTTAGGCACCTTTGCTCAGTTGTTGAAGAATGGTTGCTTGCTTCATGGTTTTTGTATTTGTGTCTAATGCATGTTTTAACATGATAGATGCAATACATCTATGGAAAAGTCAATCTTGTAGGAGTTGTTTTTAAGATCTTTGATAATTTTTTTCTTTAAATTTCAAAAAAAATAGAATGAATATAATAATATCTTTCTGAAACGTTTGAAAGCTGCCAACATGATGGCCCTCACATCTGGACATCCCAGTGAGTAATTCTTAAACCCAAGGCGAGAAACACATGATTATCAACAACATAAGGAATATCCACATTTATATAATTTTATTATGTTACCTACAGAGCTTTGCCCCAGGAATGCCTTTTTCCTACCAATACAAGATCCAACCCAGAGTCCAATGCTATTAATGTCAGTTACTGTTGATCTTTTGTGGAATACTTCATCAATCCTTCTCAGGCTTCATGTAAGGGACTAAATCGATAATAAACAAACAAGGTCACTAATGAGTAATAAAGATGGCCCACTTCCTGCTTCTTTTTCATTCAGCAGGAAGGCCTTATTTTTTCTTAGGACATAAGATTTTTGGTTTCCAGGTCCCTTTTACTGGTGTGGAGAGCTTTTCTCTCTGTGTGAGTGAGTGTAGGTATAGATGTGTCTCTTTTTACTTTTACAATAAAAGATTGTTTGTTGCTTTCTGCTGGTCTTGGATTTTCCCTGCCATTTGATTCTTTAATTGACTGAGGAAATGAACCCATCCCCTAGATGATGACCTTCTTGATCTGGTTCTGACAATGTCCATACGTTTGAAGAACAAAGGACAGTGTATTTACACAATGTCCTTCCGGTTGGGCTTCCTTTTTGCATTTTCATGTGACTCAGGTTACTGTGACAGGAATAGGGCAGTAATGGTGTTATGAACCTCTACAGGGAGTAAGTTTAGAAGGCATTAATTTACCTCATTCTTGGTGATGTTAGCTTTGGGCAAATGCATAAAGAGGTGGAAAACGGTACATTTCCATTTGACATTAATAAATATCTTGTCAAGAAATACCTTGAGACAGTTTAAAAACACATTTATCATAAAAACTGTGTATGTTTTTCAGGTCAGGGTCTCATGTAGCCCTGACTGGCCTCAAACTGGTTATGTAACCAGGGATGACTTTGAAATCCTGATCCTCCTGCTTCCCCCTCCTGCATGCTGAGATTACAGGCTGAAGAACACTTTTATGAGGCATGTGATTCAATTTCACAGTGATTCACAGATCTTCATATCCTTTAACAAGGTGAATTAACTGTAGTGAATGAGTCTAAAATAAGGTCAGAAGTTATAGTTGAATATTTCCCACATTGTTATTTATAGGGGTAATAATGAGGAACAATTTAAAATGGTTAGGGATATTACATAAATGGGAATAAATGGTATACATGGGAAGTATATTATAAAGGTGGAAAATGAAAATTTTGGGATGGACCAGAGAGAATAATTCTAGAGCTAGCAAGTCCTGTGAGTTTTCTTTCTATTCATCATGCCCCTTCAGTTTGTATTTAACATCATTCCAATCCCACAACCAATACACAGACGCACTCTCTATTTCTTATCTACTTTCATTGTCTGGATCCATAGAATCTTCATGGCCTTCTTCACTTCTGTATTTCTCAGGGAGTAGATGATGGGATTGAGGAGGGGAGTTATCACTGTGTAGAACACAGATACCATCTTGTCTACAGGCAGAGTTGCAGAAGGTCTCAGATAGATGAAGACACAGGGTGCAAAAAACAAGACAACCACGGTGACGTGGGACCCACAGGTAGACAGGGCTTTGCGCCGTCCCTCAGAGCTCCGGGTCCGCAGATGGAGCAAGATGACCACATAGGATGCTAAGAGGACCACAAAGCTGATCACAGACAGTGACCCTCCATTGGCAACAATCAGAAGACCATTGAGGAAGGTATCTGAGCAGGCAAGTTTGAGCAGGGGAAGCACGTCACAAAAATAATGGTCTATGACATTGGGACCACAGAAGGGCAAATGGAAGATGAGGAGGATCTGGGCTAAGGAATGCACGAAGCCTCCCACCCACGCTATTCCCACAAGGACAGCGCACACCTGCCGGTTCATGATGCTGGTATAGTGCAGGGGCTTGCAGATGGCCACATAGCGGTCATAGGCCATCACCGTGAGCAGGAACATCTCAATGCCACCAAAGAAGTGGATGAAGAAAAGCTGTGTCATGCATCCCCACACAGATATGGATTTTCTTTTAGCCAGAAGATCGACAATGAGTTTAGGGGCTGTAGTTGAGGAGTAACAGATCTCTACGAAGGACAGGTAGCTGAGGAAGAAGTACATGGGGGACCCAAGACTTCTGCTGGCTGTGACAGTGACCACCATGAGGAGATTCCCCAGCACGATAGCTGTGTACAAGAGCAGGAACATCACAAAGCAAATCCTCTGCACCTCCTGATTAGGAGAGAGTCCCAGAAAAATGAATTCAGTCACATTGTGGGTGTTATCCATGAGGTTACCTCCACAAGGGAGCAATCTGGCTGGTGTGACCTAAAATGGTATGAAGGACAAGTAGGAGTTCATGATGTAAAGAAGGAAGACTCCACTGAAAAGACAGACAGAAAGAGCACTGCTTTGCTGTATGGCTGGAATAATGGGGAAAAGAGCGGCATCTAAAGCTGTAGAGGGACTACCACCAGTTGTAAATATGACTATTAGAAACTTTGGGCCTTACCCCATAGCCAGTGAGGAATCAGCAAACATGTTTGCCTATCCACTGAGTAAGTCACTTTGTGTGCAGAAGATAGAGTAGTGCAGACAGATCTATGGAGAGGAAGACTCATTAAAAAGTCACATTTGGGGGGCTGGAGAGATGGCTCAGTGGTTAAGGGCACTGGCTGTTCTTGCAGCAGACCCGGGTTCAATTCCCAGCACCCACATGGTGGCTAACAACCATCTGTAACTCCAGTTCCAGGGGATCTAATGCTACCTTCTGACCTCAGTGGCACTGCACAACATGACAACATGGGTATGTTTACACACATCCAGGCAATATACTCATGCACATAAAAAATAAAATTAATAAAAAATTAAAAAGTTATGATTGTGACATGTCTTTCTATTGCCTTTGAATGTTTTAAATATTCTTTTCCCTATAGTATTCCCTTGTTACACATTTTCTTGATTTTCAGGACAAAATTTTCAATCTTTATACATATGGAATCAGTGTTTTCAAGACAGCCAATCTTGTTGTAGGTCCTTAGGACTCGTCACCAATAGGATCTGTGATTATATTTTTACTTTTCCTAATTTTTTCCAAATTCTATACTTGATTGCTTAATGACCGTTCTCCCTCTCCATCAGGTCAATCTCTCCAGGCACTTTGAGGTGATGTGATGACCTCCCCAGGCCAGACAGTGCAGGAATACAGCTTACATTTATAGAATTAAAAAGGGGTGGAGACCAGACTTACATTCTCAGATCATTAGCAGATTCTCTGAGGAAGCCTCTTCTGGAAGAAAGTACTAATAATATCCAAACTCTGGGTTCACATTCACTTGTTCTTATGTAGTAGATACATGTAACATTTACAAAGTTCTTTAATTTCTCAGAGACTCAAGGTCTAAAATGTAACATGCAGAAAATACATATCTCAGAGGAGGAGGCCATAAAGCCCAGTCTCAGTTGCATTCTTGCTTAAGTTTAACTTCTGGTCCAGTCATTTCTTGGGTACCTCTCAGAAATACAAAACCTACCTCCCAAGAACCCAATAGAGGGATGCTTCTGGAAGGTCTTGTCAAGAAATTCCAATAGACTATGATATGAACATTTGAAATTTTGCCTTGTCCTGACTTTTTTCTGGTTCTTTATCTAGAACTTGTAATGCTAATTACTCTTGCCTTTACTTCTCCTTTACATCTATTCATGATTCAAGGACTTTCTTTTCCCACTCGAGACAAGAGTTGTGCAATTTTTTACTTCTCCTTCACATCTCCTAGGCACCAGTCAAGGACTTTCTTTCCCCCCTACAGATAAGAGTTATGAAATTTGGGAGTCTTTTAGATAGACCACTGAAGGGGTACTCCAATTGCCTCACCCTGCATCCCTGTTCAGCATGGAAGGAGCCAGAGCGGTTTGTGTTCTGATTCCGTATCCACAACTTGGGTAACTTCTTCAAAGGATGGTGTGATAAGAATAGGAGGTAGGAACTGGCTAGGCAGTTAGGGTAAAAAGACCCCAAAGAAAAGTAGCCAGTCTCTTGCCTAAAAGTCAAAATGTCCTTAGGCCTCTTAGCAACATACTCTGTTCCAAAGGCCCAAAATGTCAAAAGTATTTGGGAACTCTTATCTAATCCGTAAAAGATTTTAGGGTTACCTCTTCAGAGGGGGAATGTTAGAGTAGCAAAAAGCCTCATAAAAAAGAAAGAGTTAAAAACAAGAAAGAGTACACGAATTTGTCAGGAAAAAGTGCTGGGGAAATATGGGAGGCGTTGGAGGGGAGGGAGTGGGCGTGGATTTGACTGAAACACCTTATATGCATGTATGAAATTATCAATAAATTTTTTTAAAGTTAAAAAACCTGAATTTGTTGTATCCTCTGACCTATATCTAAACTAAACCTTATTTCTTGAAAACAAATAAACAAACTACCTCTCATGTCCATACATCCTCACAGCCAAGGCCCTTCTTCTCTCAGGATATTTGGAGTCACAACACTTACCACACTGAGTTACAATGGTTTGCTGCCCACTGCAGTGTGAACTCCCTGAGGACAGAGTATGTCTTGTACTTCATTCCATTGCCAGTGCTCACTGAATTGATTGTCATGAAATAGAATTCAGTGGAGATCAGCAGAATAAACGAACAGTGGATATTTAACTTCACAAGCCTTCTTCATCTGATGGTCAGCTTACTGTAGGCATTCATTAAACACTGAAAGAACAAAGGACCACATGGCATGATATCATACCTTATCCATTCCTGGAACCCACCCAAGACCACTGCACAGTGCTTGCCTCAAAGACCCAAAGCAGGTGACTCTGTGCAATGCCATGTGTCTCAGGGAAACATTCCCTTCATTTTCAAAATGGAATGAATTATCACAGGCAAATTAAGCCTGTGCTAACAAATCTTACACCAGTGTTTCTGTTACTTTGATGTTCTGAGGACACTGTTTTATGTTTCTGCACAGAGATGCAAATAAGTCTGTGAGAACATCCCTGGATCTGGACAGTTTCCTGGTTACCTGATGTCAGATGCATTAGGCTGAGTATGAGTCAGACTTCTGCACCACTGGAGTCACAAGATGATCTGTTTCCTTGCAGCCTTAGACTTGGGCGTATGGAGACCTGCAGTCTCAAATTTATCTGATTTTAAAGCAAAGCAGACTTGCCTCTTAGCTGGTCCTCAGAGAACTAAGAACTTGGGCAGCTAAGCCTTAAGTTCCCACTGTCTAAACAATACCAGGGGAGAAGACTTGATTAGGTGAGTGGAGAGGCATCCCCAAGGATCTACACCCTCACCCCTTCCTAATCAGGCAGAATATCTTATGGGAAGTAGCACCTCAAAGTCCCTGCAGGAAACAATTTCAGAAATCAGTGAGAAACGTGAGTCACTTGGATTCATCCAGTGTTCATAGAGCACTTACGTGGGTGCTCACGAGTTGGTGGTACCTCAACTGCGTAGCAAGAGCTTAATCATGTGACTTTACAGAAAATGACACTATTCAAAGGTGGTCTAAGGTTTGGGATCACAGGAGTCGGGACACTGAAATAGCATATCTCCGTGCTTGCAGTGAATTAGAAGTATAGATCAGTTGCTCTGAACGGGGTGGGGGGTGATTATGCCCCAGAGGACATTTAGTAATGTTTAGGGGCATTTTTTCCTTGACCAACCTGCCTGAGGAGGGAGCGTGCCACTGCGTTAAGGAGGTAGAGGTCAGGTATGCAGTGAAGTGTCCTACAAAGCCTGGGACATTCCCATATAACAGAGAATATTTCAACCCAGAGTCTATAGACTTGCTGTTGTGATATCCTGTTATCAGTGAAACAGAATTTGCCCTGAGTTGATAATCATTGAAACTGGGTGATGATTGCATGAAAGCTCATTACACAGCCATGGTCACATCTGCATATGTTTTAAGTTTCCTGTGATTACACATTTGCAGATGCTGTAGAGTAGTTTTAAAAATGAAATATGCTTTGTGCCAGTGTTGTTTACAAATAAGAAGAGTAAGCAAAATAAATAAGTAAAAATAAAGAGATCAGTGATTACAGGTGATTGGTAGAAAGAATGCCTGAATAGATGGACCACAGAAGATTTTTAGGGTGGTGAAAATACTCTATAATGACCGGTATGTATTTAAAAAAGATATTTTATTTAGTATTTTTATTTTATGTGTATGCATGTATTGCCTGCATGTAGGTAAGTGCACCCTTGTTGTGGAATGCTCACGGAGGACAGAAGAGGCTATCAGATCCCCTGGAACTAGACAGTTGTTAGGTGCCATGTGGGTGCTAGGATTTGAACCTGGGTCTTCTGAAAGAACAGCAAATGTTCTTAGCCACTGAGCCATCTCTTCAGCCCCCATGGGTGTGCATTTTTTGCACATATGGTGGCATACCCCTTTAACTCCAGGCGGAGGCAGGTAGAACTCTGTGACCTTGAGACCAGCCTGGTCTACATACAGGGCTGTATGTAGTGAGATCTTGTCTCAAAAAAACAAAAAAAAGTAAAAAAAAAAGTTTTCTGAAGATTTTATAATAACAGCCCAAACTGAAATCAATCCAATATCCAGTAATGAGAATTAAAAAAATGCTATATTTATGCAATAAAATACTACTCACCACACAGAAATAAATTATTGTACTGGGGAGGTGGCTTAGTTGGTAAGTGCTTTCCAGGAAAGCATGAGGACCTGAGTTAAGATCCCCAGAACCCACATAGAAAGCTGAGTGCACATCTGTAACATCAGTGCTTGGGAGCATTGTGGGATCCCTAGAGCTTGCTTGCCAGCTGCCCCCAGTTCAGAGCGACTTGTCTATACTTCTAATTCACTGCCAGCTGGTCTAGATGAGTTGGTGAGCTCTAGGTTCATGGAGAGATCATGTCTCAATAAAAAATAAGGTGGAGAAGCGATTGAGGAAGATACCTGATTTCACCTTCTGGCCTTCACATATACATGTTTGTACTCACATACATGTGCACTCATGAACATCTATATAGCACACACACAGAAAACCACAAAATTTCAAGTTATTATAACTCACAACACAGATGACTTTCAAAAACATTATTAAATAAAAGATGCCAGATACAAAAGAGTTGGGGTTCAGGGATTGCTTGGGAAGAAGTCACAAGAAGATTCTGGGATGATATATTCTATACTTTGAGTTAGTGGCACAGTGTATAGATCTGTCAAAAGTCGTTTAATTGAAAGGTCTTTATATTTCACTGGATGTAAATTTTTTTGTAAAGTAAAAGGTAAAATATATCTGGAATAGGAGGCCACAT